GTGAAATCAGAATTCCCCATTGATTTTGGGGCCCGAACCAAATCCTATTGATTTCCGTGGGAGGATTTCCATTAACTCGAACGGGCATTGAATCAAACCTAAATTGGCAGCGCTTTGCACCCATTTGGCATAGTGTAGTTGTCTGCATAAGGTGGAGAATTAGGTCCAAAGACACTGAGAAATGCTTTAATTAAGAGCATTATTGAAAAGAGAGAGTTTTTCCATCCTTATGCTGATAAACTGCATTTATTCTACACTCCTAATGGCAAGGGGTCGTATTTTCAGATGCTTGGACTAAAGATGAAGCCTAACACTGAGATTTCCAAAAAGATGCTGAAAGGCAAATGAGATGCTGGGAAGCCCCTGAAATCAACAGGTCCATTAACTTATTTACACGTTTTGAAGATCCTTGGAGGTGCCTATCTGCATCTTTGTAGCCTTATCAATCCAACCGGCAGTCATTAACCTCTGACATCAGCTGTGGGTTCACTTGCCCACTATACCAGCCCAGATCCTCACATCCCAGTAACACAGGCAGCGTGGTTGGTTCAGGTTGGAGCTGGGACAAAGGCTCCCTGCAGACAGCACAACTCAGTGACTCTTCAATAACACGCAGTGGGGCCGCGGCTGCAGCTCCTGTCCTCCATCACACCTCTGCCAGGTCATTCAGCTGGGGCAGCCAATCCACAGCTGTCCCCTGGGCTCAGGTAACCAAAGCCCCTAAGAAGCAGACACACAGAGATCCTGGAAATGTTATTTTCAGGCAGCGCAGGGGAAGCCAGCAGCTAGCTGAGCTTCCGTTCCAAAAGCAATCTGAACCTAGACAGCCCTGCATCCAGTCAAGGGGAGAATTCTCAAAACTTCTTTGTTACTACTTTCCCATCAACTCTGAGGTCTCTAGCATCATTTCCTGTATTGCTGCTGACCCTCTTGGGGCACCTTCCTGCACTGCCTGACCTTCTGCAACCGTTGCACTCTATACCTCAGCAAGTGCCTTTACTGTGAAGTAAGGAAAGTTTTGGGAGCTGGCCTTTCCAATGGTTGCTTTGGTTGTAGGCTGCAGTACTTTGCCTGGCTGCTATTTTTCACTTGGACTTGTGTGCTTGCCATGGTCACTCTGCAAAGCACAGGGAGACCGACTGGGAGACATGAAGGACAACATTGATGCTCACAAAACTGAGGGGCTGCAAGAGGGGAGCTCAGAAGTTTCACTCTCAGATGGAAACCTTCCCCTAAAGGGATTCTTTACCGAGAAGCCATCCAGAAAAAGTAGGTGCTGGAGAAGAAAGCAAAGTGAAAGGATTCCCAAAGCTGAGCCTTACAGAAAGAAGACAGAGGTGAGGATTTCTCTTGAGCCCTGGCAGCTTTTTACATCCAGCTGGGATCACCAGCAAGGTCACTTGCTGAAGAACAGGCCCCCGGGCTGACGTACTCCCCTCAGACCAGGTCAGAGCCCAAGGGATGGCTGCTGCCACCTGACTTCCTCACCCCCCCCATGCTAATTTCTTCCTCCCATGAGTAATTTCCCTGCACCTCCTCCCACACACACACCCCTCAGTTCCTTGCACTGTGCATTTTTATGCACAAAGGGAATGTGCTAGATTACACCACCTGCTACTGGAATCAGCACCAGGTAAAGGGAAAGGAATGCGCATTGGGATGTGACCCGTGCGAGCCAGGGGAGAAAACTTCCTGCCCGACACTGGCATGGGGCAGGAGCAGCTCTCCAAGCAGCTCTTGCTGACAAAATCCCACTTTGCAGGTTAAAGGCTGGCTGTGCTGCCTGCACCAAAAGGAGCCATATAATTAAAGATCACTGGAAACCACATGCATCTGCAGAAATGGCCCCACTTCAGAGGAATCTCTCGAGGCAAATAACTCGGTCATTTTTCAAGGGCTCAGGCATTTGTGGCAATCGCCTCCGCGGCCACGTTCACGAGGAGCGAGGCACAAGTGTTTTCAATCCCGTACTGCGGGGCATGAGCTGACACTCCGCTGGGGGTCAGGAAGGCATATCCTTCCTCCCGGAGGATATTATTGTTCTGCGATTTATCTCATGGGAGATGCGTGTCTTCCTCCCAAATACTGCCGTTAACCATTATTATTAAAGAATAAAAGAATAAAAAAAAAACAAAAAAAAACCAACAAAACAGAAAAGAAAGAAATCCCTCAACCAGGCGCGTCCAGGCTCGACGCTCCCATCCCATCGCACCCCACCCCACCCAGCGCAGGCAGGGCGCCGGGCGCGGCCCCACTCCTTCTGGGAAGCGCCGTGCGTCACCCACCGCCCCCGCCCCGCGGGACAGCCAATCGCCGGCCCCCTTATTTGCATACGACGCGCGCGTGCTGCCGGGCCGGCAGAAGCTGCGGGGTGTCGTCCCTTCAGCGCGTACCGTGATGCGGGGCCGGGGCTGAGGCCGGGGCACGGACAGGGGCACGGACAGGGGCACCACTCGACGCGGCTGTCCAGCACTGCGCAGCGCTCGCCCTGACCTTGCAACGGCTTCGTCTTGCAGCCTCATATTGCCTGAAGAGATGACGGTTATAATTGCCCGGATGACCCTCAGTGGTCTGGGGTGCAGGCTTCAAACCTGTAGCTGTCTAGCGACAGAGTGGTTCAATTCCACCTTTCGGGCGGTGTGGGGGGAGCAAGGGTGGCTGCTGTTTTTATTCGCAGTGGGTACCCCGCGCGCCAAGGCGTTAGCATCTCCCGTGGGCTGGGAAGCAGCTGGAGATTGCACAGCAATAGGGGGACTGTACACGGCATGGGAACGCTGCCTGCCTTGCCTCGGCTACAGGACACGCAGCGGGGACGCACCGACAAAGCCAGCTCTACCGATTGTCTTGTTTTCCCTCAGCCCTGTCCTTTGTTCTTGGAGCAGGCACGTGCTGAGCCCTGCATTCAGCTCAGCTGAAGCAAGCGCAATCTCTGAAGGGTGCCTGGGTGACAATTCGGATTTTAATTAGATTCTACTAAGCAGATCTTCTGAAACAGTGTCATGTATCCTACAAGAACAGCAAAGAAATAAATAACAGAAGCCATTCTCTAGCTCTGCTCCATATTGACTATAACCTATCTCCCACCCACGCTCCAACAAGGATGCCTCACTTCAGCAGTAAGCACGGGTGCTAATAATGTCACCCAGACCCATGGAAAATAAAGGTTAGCCTAAAGCTAACAAACATATTCTTCAAGCAGAAGGCATTTACTTTGAGATATCATATTGCTATAGCTCCAACAGATGCTATGCAAAGCCTGCAGTTAGCATGACACCCCAGAACACCCCCACCGCAGGGGACAGCAAGAACTTAAGAATGCATTTCCTTGTTTCCCAGCCCTGCAGGCAGGAAGGGCTCTGCCTGGGGCATCCCATGGAGGGAGAGAAGAAACGTGCTGCTCATAGAATCATTACGGTTGGATAAGACCTCTAAGATCATCTCAACCACCAGCCCATCCCCACCATGCCCCCTAACCATGTCTCTCAGTGCCACATCCATGTGTTCCTTGAACACCTCCAGGTAACTCCACCACCTCCCTGGGCAGCCTGTGCCAGTGCATCACCACTTTTTCTGAGAAGGAATTTTTTCCTAATATACAACCTGAACTTCCCCTCGCACAGCTTGAAGCCGTTCCCTCTCCTCCTATTGTTAGATGCCCCATCCCTTCCCAGCCATTGCTCCCCTCACCTGCTGCCTCATTAGACCATGAGTGGCAGTGATTCTAGCTACTGACCTCCTGCCTAGATCTCCACTATCACATTTTGCCTCAATTCCTATGCCATTCACTCTCGTCCTATTGCCATTACCTAGAAGAGGAGGCCAACCTTCACCTAGCCACAACCTCCTTTCAGGCAGTTGTAGAGAGCAATAAGGTCTGCTCTGAACCTCGTCCAGACTGAACTTCAGTTTACTTCCTTCAAGCTGCTCCCCATAACACCTGTGCTCCAGGCCCTTCACAGCTTTGGTACCCTTCTCTGGACACACTCCAGGGCCTCGATATCTTTCTTGTTGTGAGGGGCCCAAAACTGAACACAGTACTTGAAGCATGGCCTCACCAGAGCCGAGTACAGAGGGACGATCTCCTCCCTGCTCCTGATGACTGCTATTTCTGATACAAGGCAGGATGCCACTGGCCTTGGTCACCTGGGCACACTGCTGGATCATGTTCAGCAATGCCAAGTCTCTGGCGTTCATGGGAGCATTTTGGGCCAAGTGTCATCCAAAGTAGGTGAGTGCCTCTAAGGATCCAAGCCTGAGTAACTATGCTTCCTTTGCACCAGATGACTCACTCCAGCTGAGAGCCTGGGAGAAGAAGGAGGGGCACAAAAGGGCCCCAAAAGGGCCCCTGTACCTTCAGATGTGATTGCTCCCAACCCACACATCCATCACAAACCAGCTGTGATGCCAGCATGGACTGGCTCTGGGAATACACTGGCCAGCGCTGAGAAATCTGGTTACAAAGCACTGTGCATCCCACATGGTGCAGGCCAGCTTTTTTACGGCTTTGCAGGAGATTTGCAGGCACTCTCCCCAGTGTGGCTGGGCATGCCGTGGGTCCCAGATGGCTCTGTGCTCCCAGGCACTCCAGCCGCCAGCCTGTGTCTTCTGTCTATAGTGAACTTTCTATGTGGAATTTTGCCATGGCCTCAGAAATTGGTATCTGTGTTGCAGCTTGTCTGGGGGCCTTTGTTTGCTTTGGGGCTGGGGGAGTGCTGGAAAGACCTTGGCCCAGTAGCGGGCAGCTGAGAACATTGAAGTTAGATGGCAGTTACCAAGTTGAACATAATACAGCTCTTTCATGTGGTGTTTATAACTGAACATGCTGTTTTGTGTTGGCCTATTTTTTTTTCTTCCAAGAAGTAGTTTTGGATTAAATTATGACAATTACATTCTTATATTCAGCCCCCCCTCCCCCTCCAGCTCCCACCCTCGCCCTGTATGCACGCAAACACAAATGGGAATTATGTGCTCAGAGTACGATTTGAACTCCACAGCCTGGGATCCGTGCCTGGCATTGAGTTCACTCTTTTCCTCCGGAGTAAAAAAGGCTCCATCCACTCCACACTCTTTCATCACTTTAGAATGAAGTAGGGCAGTCAGATTGCTGGTGTGGGTGCCTTATCCTTGAGGGGAGCTAATAGGGAAAACAACCTTTCAAACATGCAAGAGAGGAGGGCAAGGAACCTCAGTGGTGAAGGCTGGCTGTAAGCAGCACAGAGTTTGTGAAATCTTGCATGAGTACATGGTATGCAAACACACACCCCCAGCAAGCTTCTTGCACAAGCCCAGGTTGGCTGACGTATCTGGGCAGCACTGCATCTGATTGGTTTGCAGGAACGTGGTAAGAAACTTGCCCTTCTCTTGGGGCTGTGTCCCCACAAGCGCCCTCCAGGACTGCAGATCTCTAGGTCACAACTAAATGGAGGGGGAACACAGGAGGGAGGTCACTTAGGACAGGAGACAGAATAGGATCTCTGCTCACATGTTGTTTACTGGGCATAGTTGGGACACAAGTCTGTAGGAAACAGGGTTCCCTTTATTTTGCTGCTTTTTTTTTGAACACTCTGGTTTACTTAGAGTACTGGTGAGGAGGCCAATGTAGATGACTCGTCTGTAGTAGGGACACTTTGCACAACACCATCAAATGTCTTGCCAGAGCAGGCTTTGTTTGGAGTCACTCATTAGTCAGCCGAAGCGCTCAATGTTCGAACCTGAATGCCACTATCTTCCCCTACAAAGGGCCAAACGAAGATGAGCCAAAGGCTTTAGCACTGGTTAGAAGGCAAGGCAGGAATTACTCAGAGTCAAGATGCACGAGAGCCTGGCTTCTCAGTCAATGTAATCTGCCTCCTGTTGTTTTCCCCGCAGAGTCACAGAGCAATGAGGAGGATGTGCTGGTGACAGATGGCTGGCATGCCTTGCTAAGCACAGGGGTGACTGAGCTGTGACTCAGCAAGTGTTTGGTTACAGGAGTCCCTCTGTGTGCTCTTTCTCTGCTGACAGTGAACCTAGTGAGGTCTCCTGGAGGATTATGGATGGATGGATGTCATGTGAAGTCTGTGACTGCCATCCTCCATGAGAGGCAAGCAGGCACACACAGCTTATTAGAGCAGAAAGTCAAGTTCCTAATTACTGTTTATGTTGTTAATGGATAATGTTTCAGTGTGTATAAATATATGACCTTCCCATGATGCTTAGATATCCTACTAGCCTTTGAAAAGGAAACCATTCAACATCCTGGCCTAAAGTAATGACTGTCTTGCTCGGACGTAGTACTCAGAAAACTTCTTTTGCAGTCAAGTCACTAGAGGGGGACAAAGACCTAGTCTGGGTCTTCCATACAAGAACTCTCTCATTGCAGCTCTGGGAGACGCCTTGGAGAGGCGGAAGCAAAGGTAGTCCTTCTCTTCATCAGATTTGAAGGTGCCCAAATGCTGGGACAGCTTTCTGGAGACTGAGGAAGCAGCTGGGGACCAGCAGCACATTGGAGAAATGAAGCCATTTCTTTTCCACTAAAAGCAGGATGGTGCATGCATATGCATGAGTAGTTTAGTTGCCTTTATGTCAACTTTGTTCTACCAGTGCTTCTCCCAGATCCATAGCTGTCCAAGGCTTTTGTAGGCTTAGTTCTACTGCTTTCTCCTCTTTACCTACGGGGGAGAGCTGAATTCACAGGTCTGGATAGGTGCCAGGTATTATTGTTACCTCTGTGAGTTAAAGACGTCATGGAAATATTGGAGGACTTGAACACGGTGTACCTGTGCACATCCCACATGCACACAGAGAGCCAGAGTGACTGTAGTAAGCAGTGAGGCAGTGTTTGCAAGTAACATATTGACCTGAAGTGCTTAAAAGCCACTACACATGCTCCCCTGGTGAAATGTCGACTGGAGTGACTCATACAAATGGATTGTGATACACAGTCCTCAGCCCAGACTGCGCTTGGAACCAAGGCGCTCCCATTTTCTCCCCTCCAGCATACTTCCCTGACCATACCCAGAATTGAGCCATTTGGCTCTGACTGGAGCTGGTCAGAACATGTTTTTCTTTTCTTCTCTTTTTCCCTCCTTCAGCCTTTGGAAAATGTTGACATTTTAGCAAAGGGCTAAAAACCCAAACCCTGAATATTTTCCATTGGAAAATGCTGGGGGAAAGGGAGGGGAAGAATCCCCAAACTGCCAACAATCAAATCTCTTTTGCTTTTAAATCTTTGGGGTTTATGAAAGGGAGTCATATTTGGAGGAAAGCAAACTCTTTCTATGAAAATATTTGTTCTCTCAAAGCTCATTTTTTTTAGTAGAAAATTGTTCCAACTGGCATCTGTCATGTCCTGCCTGTAAGGGTAGGGAAGAGGTGACCCTTCATCTTTTTTGCTGAAGTTATTGGTCCTTCTCTACATCTAATTTTGGAACTGGCTCTAAGAAAGTCTAATTCAGAAAGATAAACCTTTCATTGGAATACAAGGACGAATGCAAATACAGCACAACTTAGAGATACATCGTGATATTCTCTGTGTCAACAATCCTATTTACACAAATATCTCCAGCAAGTTTGGAATCCAGTCTGTGGGACGCCAGGTTCCCAGAGCTCCAGATGACTTGCTTTACCAAGAGATGGTGATCTCTGCACACATTCCTAAAAGGAATCTACCTTTAACAAGATCACATCAAAGGCTATAAGGGAAGCAGTACGTACTGAAAGGTATATTACCTGTAACTATCCCCTGAGTAGCTGATAATGCAGAAATACTTACAAAGCGTTTTGTTCTGATGTTTTCAGCTGATTTAAATTTCTGTCTGAATTGTAATGGAGACCTGAAACATCTGTTTCATCTTGTCTTGGCATATTGTTCTGCTTTCCTGTAAGTTAAAAATAAAAAAGGGACAAATCACGCATATTTGGAGTAAAGGAATTATGCCCTAAACTTTTACTAAATGTGGCTAATAACAGGTTGGAGTTTAAAAATGGAAAGAACTTAAAACAGATATACACTGGTCATAAATAAAGTCAGGCTGAAAGCTAGCAGAAGCCTTCAAAACAGCAGAGTGAAGCTCAGAATAACCTCCTAAGAGGAACAATGCGAATAAACAACCATTAGAAGAAAGAACTTTATTGGTTGCAGGATATCACGACAGCAGAGAAGTAGAGTCAGTGTTCCAGGGATCCCTTCCAATTTTTTGTGCCACTTTTCAGTTTTGTTTTTTTTTTTTCCACGCTGAAACTTTTCAGTTACTTTTCACATTCACTCCATTATTGTTTAGATAGTGAACTGCAGGACTTCATTCTGCCTTAGTACTGGTCTCAGCCAGTTGTCACTTCCACATTTTTCTAAACTGGTCACTACTGTTTGAGTTAGGTCACCAAAAAATAAGAGGCATATTTGACTCCTTCTACCGGACTCATCTACCTCCCGACTTCCACCCCCCCCCCTTTTTTTTTTTTGGCCTAGGAACATCTCCTTGTAATCGTTAAATCTTATAAAACACTGGGTATAAAAACACAGTGATGCAAAATCTCAATTTTAGATCTCATCTTTGTCTGCCGGGACAACTAAATTGTATGTTGATAAAAAGAAGAGGCTCTGAATGTCTCTGATACCTTAGTGGTAAGAAACAAGGCTTCTAATTATCTGATGTGGTGCTGTCTGAACTTTTTAATATTTTTTCAAGATAACTAAGGAGTTTTTCACTTACAGAACTCTACTCTTAAGTTAAAAAAATCAAAAGTCAAGAGCTGTAATGCCTGAGTGTGGAAACACAACTGCATGCAAAAAGCCACAGCATAAACATGGGAAATAACTATGCAGAGATGCAGTAACTTGCCTTTGGAAATTTGTATATACTTGACTGAGACACAGGAGTGTGGTCTCCCAAAGGCTGAGCCATCACTTCCCCCATTAATACTAAAAGAGCAGGTTCAGAAACACAGAGATCCCTAGAAGACAAAGGCTCAAATGAATCATTCTGTCATTGTGTGAAATATAATTACTCTAGCCTTGTGATAGTTAACATTCATGGAAGCATATTCTACAAATCCAGCTTCCACCTCCCAAAAAAATCAAACTCCAGCTTCCTTCTGATAATTTACAGAATCAGCAGCCTGTAGATATTACCTTCAGATCAAGCTGGCATAGGGACAGAGATTCTCATTAAAAACAGAGCCAGTGCAGTGATCCCCCAGCCCAGCACTGCTTCCAGCTGGGACAAAAGCAGAGGCTGTCCAGGGAGATGCACAGCCCTGGTCTCTTCCCTCTTCCTGTTCCACTTGCATTTCTTCCGCATTCACCTCTACTGGATTGGGATTCTAGACTGTACATCCCACCTCTTCCCTTCAGCAGCCATTTACTGGATCTGTTGTCTGGGAATTTGTCCAGTGCCGTTTTGGGCCTGCTGATACTGTCTGCTTCTGCAGCTTGCTGCTCCAGCAGCTTCCTGACATTCCCTACCTAATGTAATGTAGCATCTTTCATCTGTTCTAAACTCATCTCCTACTGGTTTCAGTGAGTGCTCCTGCTCTACTGTGTCAAGGGATTTGGCTACTAACAATCTGCATTCACCTCAGCCATCCTGGTTTTGTAAACCTAGTCCTTAGCCATCCAAAAAATAACAAAGGATTGCAACACACGGTTGCTAACCTCACTTCCATCCCTGTTGCCTGCTGATCTGTCCGGAGTGGTTTTCTGCCTACAGCTCTCTGGTTGTTACCAAACTCAGATGGGAAGAAAATGACAGCAAAGCAAATGGAGTGCAACTTCCTTCCAGCACTGCGTTCCCCGTGCAGCTGCTCATCAGCGATGCAATGGGTCCATTTTGTGGTTAAGATTGGATGCTGAAGCTCCACCATTCCTTTGGGATCTGCAGTTCCCTGCCCAGCAGGGGGCTGCAAAGCAACAAGCAGGATTTTGAGGAGGGTAGGCTGGCAGCTCTGGCGGGGGTGTCAGGGGCATCTTCCAAAGTGGCTTTAATTAATGAGCACATGTGCAGCGAGGAGAGTTACAGCATCCCACTCAAATTGTTGACTTGGAGCCGCTTCTGGAGACAGCCGTATTCTGCTCATTAGGAAAGAGCTTTTTTGCAATGCCCTTGGATTGGATGGCTCTTGGATTGCACCACGAGATCAAGTCCCCGTACGGGCTGCCTGCCTTTCGGCTGCCAGCTCCAAGAGGGTTGTTTTTCTTGTCTCCTCATTCTCAAGGAGTGCTCAGCCAGATGGCCTGTTTTCGAATGCACTGTGCGTTGGTTGGATGTGTGTTTGGAGAGTCTGCCAGCTTCACGAGAAGGAAGAAAGAGCAAAAGAAAGGGAAAAAAGCACCATTTGGTATCTATCTCTGGGACCCAGCCAGAGTTGAGGCTCTGTTTGAAGAAGGGGGGAGTCTTAAGAGAGAAACTCTAGACAAAATTAAAAGCTGGAAAAACTTTCAAGCCTGACAGACTGGGAGACTGGAGTTCTATACAACGCCCATCCACTACCTGGCTCACTTGCAAGCATGTAGCAGCATCCCTCTAGTAAGAGCAAGACCAAATATCTCTCCTACTGCCCTCCCGGTGTGCCTCACACTGGGCTGAGATGTGGAGAGGCAACGTAGCCAAGGCTGGGTATGTCCACTGAGGCTGGGTAATGCTGCTTGTGCTTTCTGGGATTTTGCTCTTAGTTTAGAAAAACTGAAATTACATCACATAGCCCAGCTATGTCAGCCCAGGCAGTGTAGCTGAAATGGAGTAGCACAAAATAGACACCAGTGGGACTCAGCTCTCTAAGAAAGTAGCCATAATTTTACTACAAGGCAATGCCATTTTCTTGCACCCCCTGATGTTAGCTTCACAGTACTACCTTCTATTGATTTGAGGCAGCAAATAAATACGGGCCGAGACAGAGCAACAGCTTTTTTCCACTGCTCACTGGCAAACAATTCAAACCTGACAAGAAAAGTCTGTTGGTGAAGGGGAGGGGAAAGCTTTAATGTTTGGGTGGATTGAGTTTGGCTTCTTTTTACTTAACTAGCTGTCGTGTTGTGGTAACAATGCATTGTTCCAAGCAGCAGGAGGAGGTCTTGTTAATCTGAGCTGGAGAAAGCCATGTTTGTAACCATCCCCTCTGGCTGACATGCTCCTGTCTTACAAGCAAATTTGTGTGCTCGCTTGCTGAAATCATGACACAAAGAAGGCAGTCGCAGGAGTGTGTGTATCTGTGTGTGTGTGGCAACTGCAAACCCCATGTCTCTGTTGATTGCATCAAATTATTTTCACTGAAATGATCAGAATTCGCAGGCCATCAGGGCAATGTCTCCATGGCAACACAAGCTGGGCTGTGGGTAGCAGACACTTCAGATAGTGAGGGCAAAGAGGCTGTTCTCACTCCTCCTGCTTCTGGCCACAACTTAGACAAAACCTTCCAGTAGCTACAGTGTGCCATCAACACCTGTAGCTTCCCATGAGGTACACCAAGTTCACTTGACAGCAGTAGCTGGGACGGAGTTTGTGCTCCCTGGTGTGTAAAGAGCAGGGCCCTTCCCCAGAACAGGAAAACTTCATCAGCTGTTGGCAAAGTAGTGCCTAGTGGTGCAGACCCAGTCCTGGAAGGGATGGAAGATCAGCCTGTTCAAGAGAGTGCCCACATTGTGCAAATACATTCGTGAATAAGTAGGAAACTCCACAAAATCGTCTCCTCCTTCCCAAAAGGCCCAATTTTGGTAAATAACCCTGGCATAAAAAACATACTGCAGTATACATTCACAGTTCATATTGTTACAAGAGATCTGACTCTCTCCAAGAAAACAAGGTGAGAGACTCCAAGAGTCCAGGGCTTTAATGGCTTCATGAAACCCTTCAGATGACTGCCTGAGTGCCACCAGGTGCCGTGTTACAGAACTGATAAAAGAAAGATTTCTGTCTTTAATTGCACAGAAAATTTGGGGGCCTGGGAATCATAACATTGTGCTTTACCACAGCCCAATGGATGGCTTTAGGCTAGCTACCACACCTCCTGGCAAATGGAAATAGCTCTTAGTGAGACATTCATGAGAGTACTGTTAGGGGGAGGTAGCCACACATTTACAAAGGCCCTTGGTGCGCTTTTGGTGGAGGATAGGCTAGAAACAACAGCCAGCCACTTGCCCGCCCAAGCTGCACTGGCTGTGCCAATGTCAGTACCAACCACTGCATTTTTCATATACAGTAATTTTCAGGTACTTGATTTCATGCCTGTAGTGCTGCTTGACTACTGGATTATCTCTAGCACACTGCCCAACACGAGTCTTCAGACATAAGCCGAAAGGCCAGTCTGAAACAGAAAACTTCCTCAAAGTTCTCTTGCTCAGTGTCATGGATACCTATCATTGTTCAAGGAAGGAAGGCTGGATGCATTACCCAAACACGGCACTCTGGAGATTTGTACAGTGTAAAGAGGAGGGCGGCTTGTCTTCTAACATTAGTTCTGGCTGCTCTGCCACCAGCCTTTGTGTATAATTGCAGTGAATCAGAGTCAGTACCTAGGTAAGAGATCTCTGACAGAGGAGGGTTAAGAGATTCAGGCAGTCTCCTGTCTCTGACTTGTGACAGTTCACAGTGTACCTCAGCAGGACACGGGTGTCATGTTGTCCATTACAAATGACAGCCTTGAGTGTGACCATACTAGCTGAAGCCACAGTGAAATACCAACGTGCTAACATGTAAAAATGTTCCCGTGTCTCAGGATGGAAAGGGAGATTAAAAGAACGCCATGACAAAGAAACAGTGATTCTTGGGTTAGCTCAGCCCTTCTTGTTTCCTTCAGATTGCCAGATTACTTAGGTATGCAAGACATTCTGAGAGAGACGTATTTTATACACCAACTGTACTCCTGAACAGAGCTGAGGAGAACC